TCCCAGCTGCGTTCCGGCTTCTCCACGCTGCTGAATTCATTCAAATGCCGTCCCAACTCATGCTTCGACAACGTCACGGACCATTGTCCTGACTGCCTCCTGCCTTCCCACACAACGTGCCACCTTTTCGATTGTCGCCAACCTTACGGACCTCACGCCTAAGGACCTATGGCTTCGCCCAGACAAAGTCGCCGAATTCCTTCATCTTTCTTGAAAATTTTATACCATGTATTTCTGGCAAACTAAGTTAAGGGAGTAAGTTAGTACAACAACAGCAACAACAACTGCGGCGTCTCGGTGCATGACTGTCGGCATCTCTCCGCCTGCAGTTCCCGGCAAGACACTCAACTCACCCCTGTGGACCTTTGGCTCAAGCCGGCTGAGGTCGCGGCTTTTCTCCTAAAGACAGACTGACGCCTACTGAAATTTCGGCAGTTGTCTGCGAGCAAGCAAAAGGATATTTTTCGGAAATAGCTAGGCGAATAAGATGAGTAAGGCTTTAGGCGCATAGAGTGTATAATCTCGAGTTCCATCCAAACGTTTCATGAGTTAGATCACGTAGCGTAAAGGCATGTAGGAGTCTCAACGCAATTACCAGACCTAGTTTAATTAAACACCGTATACAGTTAAGCTTAACGGTACGGCCCCCAAAACCCGACCTCAACCCCGTTAAAGAACCCGTATCCTCGGTAAAATAACAGCTTAAGTAACAAAGAAAAATTATGTATTTTTTAACCAAGTGTTGTCGTAGAATCTCTCACACTGGAAGATCCAAGGGAGAAGAGAGACAGAGGCCTGGATGGATGGAGTAACCAGCTCAGCGATTTCGCGAGGGATAATAAACAGCGATGTTTGAAAGCAGAAATGTATGATTGCATGTACACGATGAGTTGGGGGGTGAACTTCAGCAAGCAGCTGGAAAGAGAATTTGGGAGGAAGAACGGTGGCTCGGAAAAATTCGTAATTTATGTTGACGTCGCGGGAAATTTGGCAACGTCGCCTTCAGTTGTATCCAATAGCAACCATCAATACCTCCACCACCAAGATGATCGCAAATTTGTCAGTGAAGATAAATAATGAAAGTAAACAAAAAAGATGGTGAGAAAAAAAGAGAGAGCAAGAAAGTGGAACAAATACAAGTCAACAGCATGTGTTCTCTTCAATCAGTCTGTGTGGAAAGAGGAAGGGAGAGGGGGGGCAGGAGAGATTAAAAGACAGGTTGTCTGCGTTCGTATAACATAGAGTCTGTAACAGCATAAATGCGTCGGACTCAGGCGGGGGGGAGGGAGAACTTACAACAGAAGCCGGGCTGACTTAAGCCAAAGTTCAAGTAAGGCTCTCCTGCTATGGGATGAGATTGTGCTAATGCGCTTCGTAGCGAGCGAGTGAGCGCGCAGGGCAGGAGGATGAGGGAGACTGATTAGACACTGAGCGAAATATAGCTATTGTACTTGGCGATATTGCGTTTGAGGATATCGGAGCAGGGACCCATAACTCGCTCGAATCGTTTTCTGTCCAGCTTCACACAACGCAGGGGACCCTGCGCCACTACGGTGGCAGCTCGAGGACGATCCAGAAGGAGGGCTATCTCACCTATAGGCGGGAAGAAGGAATTGAGGACGTTTGAGAAGACCTTGAATAAGTTAAGAGTTAATCAGCACCAGCCAATCAATTGGCCTGCACCACAAAACGGTACGAAACCATGGCTACTAACAAACTGTTAGTAGCACTTATTCTCTACAAAACTGACACCCATGGAGCGGATGAATCCGGTTGCCGCATAAGAAACGGGTGATAAAGAACAATGATCCATACCAATGTCCGAGGGACCCTGGGTTTTGTGTCAGACCACAGTTGCGTGGGGACAACTTTATGAAAGGGTAGATTCTTATAGCTGCTGGATTCGAAGGTGGACGGCTGGACTTCTCCTCCAG